ACGAGTGGGTGGAGTTCTGTCTTGCATGTTTTACCCAAGCCTCACTTCCTCCAGGAAACCTTCCTGGATTTCCACCCTGTATGGGGCAGGTGGAGCCCCAGCCTTCCTAGGTCTGGCTCATCTCATTCCTAGTGTAGTTTTGTAGCCGGTTTGGGTTCTTCGTTTGTTTTAACTGTGGTCCATTTATGACCCTGTTGCATGGTGGTGGCACATACCTGTAGTTTTAGCTACTGAGAGGCACAAGGTGGATTGCTTGGTGCCTGAGCACCATGAAGTCAAGAGCATCTCCCACTTTGCTGGCAAGTCTCTTGTTAGTAGGGGCCCATGTTTTCTTAGCCCTGTGTCTGATCAGTTGTGTGACAGGAAGTCCTCTCCCTTGTATCTCATCTCTGGTGACAGCGTGTAGTGAAAGGCTAACATCTGTAGAGGTGAGACCCAGGTCACAGGGAGGACCAGGAGCCTTCTGTGACCTGAGCCCTGCCTGTCTTTCTAGGCCATCTGGCTGCTGTGCACAGGAGCTCGTGAGGCTGCTTTCCGGAATATCAAGACCATTGCTGAGTGCCTTGCAGATGAGCTCATCAATGCTGCCAAGGTGGGTCAGGGCCCACCGGCTGGGTTGGGTGTCAGGGGCTTATCCAACGTTCAGAGCTAACCACCTCTTATCCTTGCAGGGTTCCTCCAACTCCTACGCCATCAAGAAGAAGGATGAACTGGAGCGTGTGGCCAAGTCTAACCGCTGATTTCCCAAAAGCTGCCTAATAAACTGTGTGCCCTTTGGGACAGTTCCACCTGCCTGTGTGCTTGTCTCATTGAGGGGGTAGGGTGTCTCCCATGGCTATAGGGGATGCTTACCTTCCTGGCATGGTGTTTCCTCTTGGCAAGTACCGTTCAGGACTACTGCTAGTCACAGGGTGTAAGTCCAGTGCCTAGGAATGACCAGAAGTACTAGGGATAAGGGGGGTGCATTGTTCCTACCCTCTGGGCCTGACACATGTTGCTCTGATATGGGGAAGGGCTGGGATACTCAAGATCCAGAGTGTGTACAGGCCACTGAGGTGGTATATCAAATAGTCCCTGTGTTAAGTGAAATTATGATGGATCCAGTTACTTCCTCAGCATCATTTATGTACCGACGTCACATGCCTCAGGGAGCCCAGTTTGTAGAGTGGTCCATGGTCCTTGTACCATGAACTTTTAGCCACTCCTGCATCCAGTATAAATCGAGTTTGGTGTTCATCCTGGTGGGAGGGGCCTGGAGGTGGGGTGAGCAGCCAGACAGGTTTGACAGGTACATGGGAACCTGGAGTGGGCTGGCCCAAGGTCAGGTGCCCTCCTCCAGGGAGGGGCACTTAACCTAGTAGCAGACAAGCCAGAAATTGGGGTCACAACAGGAGGGACTCACCAGGATATTCCACAGGGACAGGCATCAACAGGTAAGGTGCCCTGTAGACTGGCAGGTCGCTTCTGTCTGAGGTTGGCTCTCACACCCTGGGTTTCCTCTTTGTTTCTCAGCTATTAGGTACCTCCTAGTAAGGGATCTGGTTGGTGGTCCAGGTGACAGGTTCTAGTGAATGCTGCCTGAGAAGTAGTTCTCCACCTTAATGTTGTGACCCTTTAGTACAGTCTCATGTGGTGGTAACCCCCCCCAACCATAAGATTATTTTAGTTGTTACGTCATAACTAATTGTGCTACTAAATTTCTGTTACTCTGGTCTTTGGTTGCTCTTGTTAATGGGATACGACCCAGAGGTTGAGAACCTTCTGCCTGGAGTCTCCTTGTTCCCTGCGGGGCTGTTCTTAGTCTAGGGGCTGTTCTTAGTCTAGTTGT